CCTAATAATTGACGATAATTATTAATTAGAAAATAAAAAGATCGATGAAATACTAGACTGCAACAATTTTTAAATTCTTGATACAATGGAATCTAGCTTTTGAAGAGAAACAATAAATAACTGAAACAAGTACAAAACATTACAACTTTAAAAAATGATGTAACTGTTTAGGAATTTCAAACTGTGTTCTATAGAAAAGATATAAACTAGTCGAAAGCATTTCAAGGACACAAAATGATAAACTATAAGAAAATTCATACACACAAACAGTGATACACAATCCGGCACAAGGCTACTTTTAGTACTTACCTTCATCACACACATGTGCTTCGGATAGTGAATCGGAAAATTTGGCGATATCTATAAGACGATAGCCCTTCTTATCAAAATCCATCACCTGATCGGGGGTTTCAATGGACTCTGGGAGGTTTAATTTTCTTCTTGATGCACTAACACGTGGTATCTCAGAGGAGGATATAGACGAATTTTCCTGGGAGGTGCTCAGCTGGTTTTCTCTTGAAACGCTCGGAGTTTTGTCATGCTTTTGCTTTCCAGAGAACGGTTTTCCTTTTCTCTTCTTTCTATACACGGTTCTCTTCTTCTCACCGACCATAGCAGCAAACAAAACAGTATTAGAAGACCACTTTTATCGCTTTTCAATATCCAGTATTTTGAGAACTTTGTATGTTTGAGAAATTGCTTTGATGAGCCCACAATGACTCAGACCATCGCATGGATGTCGCCTAGAACGTCATGTAGTCAGAAATTTAAATGGCGATGATTTCTATGAAGATTTACACGCGAAAAGCTCAAGAAAACAAGAAAATAACAAACAGGTTGCCATAGCAACCAAACTACCTTGTTTAAAAAAGAGCCTAGAACATGGTTATGAACAAGAATTTAGCCATAAAACAACTATTCCATGATTTTTAAGGATTTAAGAGGAGATTTTTTAAAAAGTCGCGTATTTTTTCCGAAAAGCGATCAAAGCTTAGCGGCCAGGCCTTCGCGAAAAAATAATGCGCCGCCATCTTGGTTTTAAAAGTTTCCCAAAATTTGCGAAGACAAATAACAGAATTTTACTGAATTTTTGTCTATGTTACGAGCCAAAACATTGCCAAATATAAAGACAGATGACATGGTAAGTGTAATGTCGTATTTAATAACTGTTATTTGAATTATTATTATATAAAATGTGCACATGTATCTGACTCAGGAGTGAGCACTGAGCATTCAAACCCGTCATCTATAATAATATTAATATAAAACTGATTGAAAGTGACTGCTTTCGTCCTTTGAATGATGGCCTGCCTGTTCACAACTCATTAATATATGTACATGCAAAATTGTAAAGCACTCTGTTTGAATTTTCAAGGAAGAATTTGAGTATTTGTAAACAGTTTTTCGCCTCTGGTACTTTTGCATATTTCCATATTAAAGACATTTCACTGCAAGTGCACATAGTCCATGTATCTGTAATTTTAAACTTCATACTGTTTTGTACACATGCAGCTGTTGCAGTGTTTCAGGTATACCATGCTAGTCACTACAAGTTCCCTTTCTGATATAAAGAGTCGTGATGTACTGGTACCGTAAACCTCCAACTTACGACTATAGCCCCCCCCCATGTACAAGCCCACCACATGTACTAAAGCTCACCTCATTCCAAATATAAGCCCCCCCCCCCGGAATATTAGTCCCCCGAATTGATATATTAATACATTTTTAATTTCCTGTTTATGACTGACTTGTTTATGTTTGACTTGTTTATTACTAACACTAACACAAAAGATCATTGGGTATAAGCCCCCCTTGTATAAGCCCATCAAAAATCGCTTATGAAAGTATATAAGCCAGGTTTTATAGTCGGAGGTTTACGGTATATGTATACAGTATATTAAAGTAATTGGAAACCAAAATTTCATGGGATATAAGTAACAATTGCAAGTGGAATTAATAGTTGAAACAACCTACTTTCCCTCATGCATATAACTTGATGTGGTATGAGGGTCGCTAAGCCCGGGCTGGTCTAACCTGAGATTGGGCTGTATTATACGGATAATAACCTGACACAAATCTTAATCCTATCACTTTCCACCCACAACAAAGTTTATATTTAGTATCCAATCAAAATGTCACAGGAGAAATTAAAATTTCACACAACGACAACAACAATCTGATTATAGTTGTGATCACTATAAAATATATCAACAACAACAGTATAATCTAATTAACACCAACCAATCAAATGACAGATTGAAAAATCTTTTGTCTCATAGACCAACCAGATTAACAACTGAAATACGGTTGTAAGGCATGGACTTTTGTTTAGGTTTGTTTCAGGCCTATTTATTTATTTATAGACCTGATGGCAGGTTAGGGCCTGACCAACAACTGAGGTAGGATGCATCATCACTATGGACCCCAGACAGGCATGTCAATTTTTGGAAATCAAAGTTGTCTATAAAGTCATAAAGACCCAATACGTTATTTCACAAAGAACCGCCTCCCCCAATACCCCCAAGTAAATCCATCCCACTGCTACACAAAAGAATACTTCTTTCCCTCTAAGTTAACAATGAAAGTATATTTTTTACAGATCTCTGTGATATTACTTTTACAACCTTGAAGATATGATTATGATGACAGATGTTGGTACATTGCAGAGTATTTTGTACATCCTATAAACTTTTTGTAATATCCACACAATAGATAAATTTGTATCATAATTAAATTTGTATCACAATCTGTAATTTAATAAATATTCATTTCATCTTGTTTCGTTTCATGTTTTCTTAATAGCCTGCAAGAAAAGATCTTCTTAGAAAATCTGATATTTTTTGAAAATTTATTACAATGTATATACATGATCTAATTGGTTCATGCCCATGCCCACCCACCTATGTTTTTTTCCCAATGAAATTAATAAGAGCAGTATGTTGAAAGAGGTTCAAACATGGGAGATTTTCCTGCAAAAGCTGGGTTTGCCTGATAAGAGAGATATCACTATGTATAGCACAGGCCTTTTTTAAGTACTGTCACTGTTTGAATTGCTCAAACCAGATGCTGAGTAAAATCATCTGGCATTAGACAGAGTAAAATACTAAAGTAAGGCACAATGGGGTGCATTGCCACTTAAAGGGTTAATGAAATCAAATCAACTCAGTATATGGTGTTAAGCCTCCATAACTGAAAGCAATAGACCCTTCCAAGGTTGACAATGCCATTAATGATAATGAAACAATAGTACAAGGGGTGCAAACACAATGGAATTCCCTATAGGGGAGGTAAATTTGCAAGGGGTACAAACACAATGGTGAAAACAATATATTCAAGATGGCATCCTTAACCTTGGAAGGGCCTATTCTCAGAAAAAACTATTTTTACTTCATCCTGAGGTAAGCAAAGGTAATTTTGATCTAAGACAAGAGAGGTGACAGCTTTCCTATATGAAACTTTCTGACATATAAACAAAACAAATTCATCCCACTTACCGGTTTTGCTAGTTCCACATAATGCTAGCTCTGCAGCTTAATGGGTTAATTATGTTACCATTGCAATGATCCTGAAGAAATTGATAAAAAAGGGACAATTTTTAGGAAAATTATTTGTCTGCTTACGACAAGGACTGATGTATGTGCTAGGAACACTAAGGGCTAATGAAAAGTGCTCTAATGTTAGCAAAAGCAGGGAAAGAAAACAATACAAAATATCATCTTGTTAGAAAATAATTAGCAAATGAATTCACATTACCATAGCAACCACATGTGACATATAGTGTACAAATCCATTAAGGGGCTGTTTACGTGAGCCTGGCTAGCCCAATCAACAGGGCTGAAACTTTATCAAGCCAAATATGGCGGGGGGAAATTTGTCACACAAGCCAAATGCATGTTAAGAACAACTTAAGAAATAACTATTTGTCCAAAAAATACTAATTCAAATCGATATTGTAGCTTGTACAGAAGTTTTTTCGCTAGCCCGGCTACCCGGGCTGGTGACTTTACATGGGAAAATTTCAGCCCGGTTAGCCGGGCGCCCCGTTTGACTCGAGTGAGATCTCTGCTAGGCGGGCTAGACATATAAACTAAAATTGTTTTGTTAAAGAATTTGTAATAAGCCGGGCGCCTCAGTTAACCGGGCCAGCCCGGCTACAAGCGGCTAGCCAGGCTCATGTAAACAGACACTAAATGCTAAAATACACTTTAGAAAAGTTTTGATATCCATAGTGATTTATAATCATGAAGGATACTGCATTTTCAACACATATTTCCTTACAGCTTGCAAAACATCATAGAGCCACCTTAATTAAATGCAATAAAACTCGAAAAGAAAAGCCGATGAAAATGGCTAAATTCTGCGAGGACCATGCACCTAAAATTTTCCCAAACCATATTAACTTTGAAGTGTAATACATAAACTTCAAGCGTAGATACACCTTGCAGTGTGCCAATCAATATTAAGCATTATTTTTGCAATTTTGTAAAGCCTTCAGTCATTCTTTTGCCCACTTGGCAGAAAATCAACATTTTCATGATCAAAAAATTTCATAATTTTTTTTTCAGAGTTTTCTTCTAGATTTTGGCCAGCATTATAATGGTACTTGATTACAAAGCTACATAGTTAGGAAACCTATTAATGTTTAACCATTAGGTAGAATATTTTTAAACAATCAAAACAAAAGCCATCTATTTTAGCAAAAAGTGAGGAAAATGGGAAACTAAAACATTTACTTTTAAAAATTGTGCGAGGACCATTCACCTAAAATTTCTTCAAACAGGCACTGTTTTTATCCTCAAAGACTGTACTACAATGTACTATAAGTCCCACAGTGCGCCAATTGGTTTAAACGTAAAAATATCTAAAATATCCAAGGTGAATCGATTTTGGAAGTTGGCGCGAAAAATGACATACAATAATAATGTTTGCAGAAGGAAAATGGACGTTTATCAACACAGTACGCTTCAATACATGCATAAATTGAGATTTATTTGGGCATACGATAACACTCTTTCACATGCAATAATTTTTTTGTGAAATCAACATAAATTTCAAGGTGTATTTGCAGGATAATTTGTGGGAGCGAACGACAATGGGGCTTTTAAAGTCGAAGAAAGGTCGCTCACTTCAAAAGGCAAAATACAAATATCTGAGGCCAAGATCAAATCGATGCAGAAAAGACACAAAGTTTAGGCATATATGTTGCTATTGACGGAATTATTTTTAAGATCTAGCCACATAAAAACAGAACTGAAGCAGTTAAAATATTCGTACCTTCTTGGCTTCTGCATTCGAAGTATACACCTCCAGAGTTCGAAGCACGTTGTTGTTGTTTAAAACGCCGTGGAGACGTTTTATTAACTTCCAGTACAGGAAAATATGCTGAATATACCATTTCACGTCTTAGATGTAACATCGAGCGAGTTTTCATGAGATCAATAGAGCAAAATTTAAACACGTTCACTCCTTTGCCGCCATGTTCCAAAAAACAACAAAATTTACTATTTTTTCGCAAAGCATCACGGTATTTTTGATCGCGAGTTTCTCAATTTTTAAAAAAATCTCCTCTTAAAGATTCACATAAGACAAAAATATTTTTTTGGAAAAAATGTGAAATATTATGTGTACCCTCCCCTTAATTAAATGAAGATACTAATTCGACGGGAACTCCTGAGATGTAAATAGGACTAAAACAAGTGTGGTTGTATTTCAAGAAAGTAATGATCATTTCCTTACATTTCTTGGGATTGAGCTCCATTCCTCTTTTTGAAGCAAACTGGGAAATATCATTTACCACTATGGGTAGTAAGCTAGGGGAACCCTGTGTGATGAAAGGCTGTCATATCATCAACGAATTTAATATGACCGTGCCATTTGTTTAATAATTGTTTAATACAGTCATTTTTACTGTAGTATTTCTGTAACAAAATAAGATTTGATGATGGCAATTTTAAAGCAAATGTTTCATCTTTTGAATTTTTTTCTGGCCTACAATTAATTTCAAATACTGTAGGTCATATTAGTGAATTAGGAAATTCGTTATTTTTTAATTTGATAAATGTACAGTATTACATTCCAAAATCCTAATAACCAATCAAATGAAAGGTACAACATCACTCCTAGGCAGGGTTGGTCTTAAGCTGTAGTTTGGTAGGTTTGGTACCTTTTATCCCCCTTGTAGGGATACAAGACAGGGGAGAAAGGGGGCATAGGGGAGAAAGGTGGTCACCCCCCACCCCCTTCCACTAAAAAGCTACTTAGAAAATTCAGCCAAATGCTGGGGAAAATTCAGATCAAGTTACCACAAAATGTGTTACGTTGAGGTTGCTTTAGTACAACATTACATAGAAATTTGGGAATCTTTCAGCTGGCAAAGGATCAGCCCTTTATGCTTATGTCCCCCTTCCCAATTAACATGGTACAATAGCGTATCTTGCTTCTATAAAAATAGAACAGATTATCCGTTATAAACACCCACGCTCATATTACTCCCAAGGGGACATTTTATTCATTTACACTGTAATCTCCAAAACCTAAACAAAATATATACCTCGTATAATAAATATGAGAGCCCAACATATAACTTTTAAGAAAGCCATTAAAACAGTTTTAAAAGATTGTAAAGAATTTTAATTGTAACGTTTCGTCTTTAACTTAAGACATCTTCAGACTAGATAAAATTACATGAGATGTGAATATATATAAGCTAATTATAATCTATTTACAAGGTGTTATGTTGCTAAGGATAATAAAGGATAAGAGGGTGTATGTAAGACAGGACGATACAAATGAGGAAACAAAAAAACGGCAAATTACAGAAGGTTAAGCGGAATAGAGCTGCCCTGGATGTTAAGAGTAGGTTTGAGTTTAGGTATAAAAAGGCATTCGTGAATCAATAATTCACAAGTGTCTGAGCAAGAGGAAAGAATTTAAGTCGTCAAAGTTGGCAGAGTGCCCTGTAGTATTTAAGTGAGAGAAAATACTAGACATGACTGGACTGGATGACAGCTGTCCTGTTTTAGGAGTGAGTCCCAGGTGTGATCTCTGGTGTGTAAATGGCGCATGGTTTGACCCACATACGATGCGGAACAGCATCAACACTTAAATAGGTATACAACACCAGATCTCAGGAACGTAGGAACTTTATCCTTGAAAGGAAAGAAAGAAGAGATGCATTTAGAGGAGTGAAAGATAAATTAAATGTTGAGATGAGGATAAGCAGCATTGCAAAGTCGGTTGATTTGAGTGCGAATTTGAAGAGAGTGTGAACCTGTGAAGGGAAGGCAAAAATAGACAACCTTTTTAGGAACTGTGTGTGAATAGGAGGTTTGGGTTCGAAGATCTTGTTAAGGAAACGATGAACAAGACGGTCAAACATGTGGGAGGGGAAACCATTCAAGTTAAACAGTTTCCTAATAACTTCAAGCTGAGTATGAAAGTTTTCATAGCTAGAACAGAGGTTGAATATTCTGTAAAGTAGGCAAGAGATTAAAGAGGGTTTGTATGCAAGAGGAATGAAGCTGTGGAAGTTAGTGAAAAGACCTGTGAAAGTTACGATAAACTGAAGTGGAAAATTTACCGTTTGAGCGAGTTATATCGACATCGAGAAAAGGAAGTTTACCGTCTTTTTCCAGTTCAGATGTAAAAGAAATGTTTGGGTTTTGGCGGTTAAGATAGTTAAGAAAGAAAGGTGCATGGTCCAAGGATCTAAAAAGAAGAAAACAGTCATCAACATAACGTCGATACAGAATAGGTTTGAAAACAGACAGACAGTTGTAAAGCCATGATTTCTCATGGAAAGACATAAAGATATTAGCAAAGAGAGGGCCTAGAGGACTACCCATAGCCACGCCATCAATCTGTTGATAAATCCGACCGTTAAAGATAAAGTGACAGTTTTTCACAGAAAGAGATAGAAGTTTAATGAACTGTGAGTGATCAAAGCCTTCAAAATACATGCAGCTGGCAAAGATGTGATTAGCAATAATCTCAATTGTTTCATCAACAGGAATGTTTGGTAAACAATGAAGTAATGTCAAAGCTAGCCATAACCACACTATCTGAGTTGATGTCGCTGTTCAAGAGTTCTTGAACAAAAGAGAACAAGTCCTTGATAACGAAACAGCTTGTAGAGATAGGAGTGAGATAAGATATATAAGATGAATGAGATAAGATATATAAGATAGCTAAATTCTTCATTCCCTTTCTCACTCCTATCTCTACAAGCTCTTTCTCTTTTGTTCAAGAACTCTTGAACAGCGACATCAACTCAGATAGTGTGGTTATGGCTAGCTTTGACGTTACTTCATTGTTTACCAACATTCCTGTTGATGAAACAATTGAGATTATTGCTAATCACATCTTTGCCAGCTGCATGTATTTTGAAGGCTTTGATCACTCACAGTTCATTAAACTTCTCTCTTTCTGTGAAAAACTGTCACTTTATCTTTAACGGTCGGATTTATCAACAGGTTGATGGTGTGGCTATGGGTAGTCCTCTAGGCCCTCTCTTTGCTAATATCTGAGAAATCATGACTTTACAACTGTCCGTCTATTTTCAAACCTATTCTGTATCAACGTTATGTTGATGACTGTTTTCTTTTTAGATCATTGGACCACGTACCTCTCTTTCTTAACTGTCTTAACCACCCAAACATTTCATTTACATCCGAACGGGAAAAAGACGTAAACTACACCTTTTCGATGTCGATATAACTCACTCAAACGGTAAATTTTCCACTTCTGTTTATCATAAACCAACTTTCACAGGTCTTTTCACTAACTTCCACAGCTTCATTCCTCTTGCATACAAACGCTCTTTAATCTCTTGCCTACTTTACAGAATATTCAACCTCTGTTCTAGCTATGAAAACTTTCATACTCAGCTTGAAGTTATTAGGAAACTGTTTAACTTGAATGGTTTCCCCTCCCACATGTTTGACCGTCTTGTTCATTGTTTCCTTAACAAGATCTTCGAACCCAAACCTCCTATTCACATGGTTCCTAAAAAGGTTGTCTATTTTTGCCTTCCCTTCACAGGTTCACACTCTCTTCAAATTTGCACTCAAATCAACCGACTTTGCAATGCTGCTTATCCTCATCTCAACATTTAATTTATTTTTCGATCCTCTAAACGCATCTCTTCTTTCTTTCCTTTCAAGGATAAAGTTACTACGTTCCTGAGATCTTGTGTTCCATACTTATTTAAGTGTCGATGCTGTTCCGCGTTGTATTTGGGTCAAACCATGCGCCATTTACACACCAGAGTATCGGAACACCTGGGACTCACTCCTATAACAGGACAGCCATCATCCAGCCCAGTCATGTCTAGTATTTTCTCTCACTTAAATACTACAGGGCACTCTGCCAACTTTGACGACTTAAATTCTTTCCTCTTGCTCAGACACTTGTGAATTATTGATTCACGAAAGCCTTTTTATATCTAAACTGAAACCTACTCTTAACGTCCAGGGCAGCTCTATTCCGCTTAACCTTCTGTAATTGGCCGTTTTCTTGTGTCTGTTTTGTTTCCTCATTTGTATCGTCCTGTCTTACATACACTCTCTTATCCTTTATTATCCTTAGTAACACATAACACCTTGTAAATTGTGCAAGACTATGAGCACACAAACTCCTGCCAAATATTCATAAAAAGTTTAATTTGTATTTGTATTGACGTTACTTTCATGTCAACATATCCTTAATAACAACAGCAATTATTTCAATATCACAAACATTTACCAGAGCAATAATAGGCGTCTGTTTTCTCAGGCTAACAAAAATGTAATGACATTTGTAGATATTGCTTTGAAATCTCAGATTACAGTTTAACCACTGTAGTTTCAAAGTACACACATCATACAAAACCATAACAAGAATACCTTCTTTATGCAAGAACACTCTTCCGTACCACAAGACTATCTTTTCCACCAATGGAATAAAGAGACACATTACATGGCCAGGGAGCTCACCAACAGAGAAAAGGCGATATTTGGTGATCTGAAGGCTTCTCCTTGGGTACAGATATGCTGGGTACCACACCAATGCAAGGGTCAACAATCACTGGTTGCTATGTCCACTTCATCCAGCAGCCGTCCAACCACCAGCCATCTAATTAACCACTAGCCATCCCACCGGCAGCACCACAGCAAGTAATCCATATAAGTGACAGTGATGATGACGAACAGCCACCAGAACGAGAACAACCTCCAGCCAGACCACCACCACCACCACCAACAGAGAGTCTAAATGATGCCATCATAATACTAGCAGGAAACAACTGTTCACCAAGAGGAAATCACAATATCAGCTGGCAGGAAGTTCATCGCCTCTTCACAATGAGATACCCAGAAGTCAACATAACATAGATATTTAGATATTTAATAAATTTCTCCCTAAAAGGGTTTTTCAGAAATTATTTACAGTTACATGCATGCAGTAATAATTAAGGTTACAAATATAAGTTTAAACAATTATCAAAGACTATATACAAAGTTTAGTTGGTTATACTAAATGTTATCTTTTGCAAGCAAATGTTTTTTAAGGGCTACTTTAAAAATTTTAAGTGAAGAGCAGCAGTCTTTCAAGTTCTTGTCTAAATTGTTCCAAATATGGATGGCTCTATATGTAAATGATCGTTGGCCAGCTGCAGTCTTAAATAGAGGTATTTGAAGAGAGTCGTGTGTACGAGTCCTGCGGTCGTGGATTGATGACCTTTTTATCAATTTGTTACAAAGGTAGTCGGGTGCTAGGTTATTCACACATTTATAGGTCAAACTGGCGTCTCTAAAATATAGTAGTTTGTCTACTGGGAGCCAATTCAATTCGCGTAGAAGTGGAGTTACATGGTCATACTTCCTGGATTTTGTGATGATTTTGGAAGCAAAGTTCTGGATCAACTGAACTTTCTTCACGTTGCAGGCAGACGTATTCGACCACACCGAAGAACAATAAACCATTTTGCTGATGACCAAGGATGAAATGACTTCCGATAAAGTTTTTGTGTCGAAACTATTTTTTGCATGATTTATCAGGCATAATTTGTTCATACACGACGAGACAAGAAGCGAGACATGTTTGTCGTAATTTAGGTGTCTATCTAATGTGACACCTAAATCTTTAGCAGAGTCCACTGGTTTAACTCATTAACGCGCAAGCTGTTACAATGTTTCTACCCCCAAAGTGGACAAGCAAAATGGCGAATACGTGATTGAATTCAAGAGCTTTCACCAAAATGGCAATATCTCAGAAACAGTTGCATGAAAAAATCTGGTCTTTTCAACCAAATATTATTGATATATGATTGACCAAATTTAGTTTAAATGAACTTGCATACCTATATATATCATTAGTTTTTTCAATGAGAATTTTTATTTGTAAAGCAGTGACAATAGGGGCAATATCTCCATAAATTTATATAAAAACCAAAAAAAAAATTATTCACTAAATCAGTACATATCTATTTTATAACCAATTTTCATCTATTGGGATATGAATTAGAAAATGATCAAAAATTATAAAATATACTCTTTTGCTTTTCTTGGGCAAGATGTTTACAACATGAAATTTAGAACAGTAAGTAAGTGTTCAAATTCAACACAGTGCTTGTACATCTTTCAAGTTTTTAATTACTTCAAATATATTTATAAGGACATATGGTACTAGAATCTATTTATTTTCAATATAAACCAAGGATGGGAAGGTGAGAAAATAGGAATTTTCTGAGGTGTTTTTAACACAGACAATGACAGCCGACATTTTCAAAGGCAAATTGTGGTGACAAAACCAAAAGCTATTAACCTCTACTCAAAGCACTGAAAAACACCATAAAAAGAAAAACATTTTAAACATACATCACGTAAGACTTTTAGCTCAATTTTCTCATGTTTTTGTTGGAAAAGCAACAGTTTTTAGCCAAAATTATTTTGCACGCCAATGTAGGCTGCTATAAAATGTCAGACACGCGTTCTCTTTTGAAGTCTGGCTCTGAAAAACAATCGCTTTTTTTTAGTTTGAAATAAGCCTTCATAAGGACTATTGTGTAGAAATGTTATCTATATACTCACATGAAAAAGATAACCTAATATTCAGGTATTCCACATAGCTATAAAAAGGTGAAATAAGGACTTTCATCTTTGGTTGTTTGTCAGACGTGAGAAACCACAAAAGTGCCATTTTGTCGTGCGTGCTATTTTATAAAATAAACACCTCGAAACCATAAACTTTTAGTTCAGAAAATTACAAAGTTTTCCATAGACAGTATTAAAAATGTTCTAGTGAAGCGATTTCATGATAAATAAGTGAGCAATGGGCCCAAAAGAACTGCTAAGGTTAGTTTTTGTTAGGACTTCAATTTCATGGCTTCCCGCAAAGGAAGCCATTTCAGAGAGAAGCGACATTTTGCCAAACAACTGTCGCAACCTATTTTGATAACTTTTTCTTCTGATTCAATGTGTAGTTACTAGAAAATGATGTTTCATCAAAATTATCTGCTTTATCGATTTAAGGTTTTATAGGGGATATAAAAACCAGTAAAAAAGCATTTTGAAAGCTTTACAACTCAGGTGCGGACTTTTGAGAATTCGCACGCGGCAAGCAAGCGTGTTTATTCAATACACTTATTTTAAACCACAATATGTCTGAAACGAGTTGTCATTTTAAGACTAAATTGATGAAAACAGATATAACAGTGACTTTGGAATATCCTACTTATTTAGTGTAATTTAATACTCGAAGTATTCTTGCCAAAAAGGTCAAAAAAGGCCACGTACGCACAATCTGGTGTCGTTTGAAACATACTTTAGCTAAAATAACAACTTGAACAAGAAGACCAACAATGGGGTCACGAAAACAGTCGAAATTGTGCCCACATTTGCATAAACAGTTTGTCTAAAAAGATAACTTTAAACTAGATTCAACCAACATTAATGCGGTTGAATTTTGTGAGTGTTTGATCGCATATTTCTACTCAAAAATACCCTTTCAAAAATCGTATCTGCTCACTTGTGTTCCGTGTTCATCTTTCTTGTGATTTCCGACTTCTATTTTTAATAAAGTTTGGAGAAATCCTCATCTTTTTGGCTGAAAATCTTGTGCAAGGTTCACAGAAAAATTTGGCCCAAAACGTCAATACATTCGCTTTCCTTTCATGGCAAATTTTCGTTGTATATCATCTGAAAACCTGTTCTTTTTTCGCTTTTAAAACTTGCTGTAAAATCCTTCTTTGCAACACTTTCTCCATTCATTATTTTTGAAAAACTAAGGTTTTAAACTTGAAAAACTTTGCGAGTTTCTGACCAATTTTCTTGCATGATACACCGTTGAAAAGCTCGAATTTCACGTTCTATTTTTGTATCCGTTGCTAGGCAACCCGATGAACACATGCTCAAATATCATGCCCGCAAGTTGAGGTGTCATTTGAGGGCGCATGCGGGCGCATTGTCCGTTACCCACTTGTCAATCTCAGGGTGCATTGGGCGTTAATGAGTTGAGAGACTTGCCCAAGAATGAAACTGATGTGTCTGTAGGTAGTTTGCTCATCATCTGCCTTGTTCCAATCATCATGTACTTTGTTAATTAAAAGGTGGTTTTCACAGCACCAACTTGCAACTCTGTGTAGGTCTTGCTCGAGATTTGCAATTGCTGCATCAATCTGACGTAATGGGAAGGAGAGGAGAACTTTTGAGTCATCAACGTACGATTCAAGGCTGGAGTCACGAGATACGGAGGGAAGATCGTTCAAGTAAATACAAAATAATAATGGTGAAAGTGTCGCACCTTGGGGTACTCTGTGAGTGATTGGTAGTGGATCAGATAGGGCGGAGTTGATGCGGGTGGACTGAAAGCGATCTGACAAGTAGTTTTTAAACCACTGTACTGTTGCTGGGGAAGCGCCGACATTCGCTAGTTTGTGTAACAATCTGTGATGGTTAATACTGTCGAAGGCTTTTGAGAGATCTAATAATACTAGAGCGGTGAGTTCCTTTTTGTCCATAGCCTCTAGCATCGTGTCGGTACTAAAAATGTTCAGGGTCTCTGTGGAATGGAGTTTTTTATTTCCGCTTTGATGAGGAGAGAGCAGGTTTTTGCTTATAAGGTAGCTACTGAATTGTTCGAGAACAATTTTTTCACAAACCTTAGAAGCTATGGCAAGAAGAGATATCGGGCGGTTGCTTGACGCTACTTCGTGGTCTCTGTCTTTCACTATGGGAATCACTTCCGCTTCCTTCCATGCAGTAGGGAATGTATGAGAGGTTATAGAGCAGTTAATTATATGTGTTAGGGGTCCTAGTATAACAGGGAGACAGTCTTTGAGGATTCGAGAGTTTATCTTGTCTGGTCCAGGCGATTTGTTAATGGCAAGGATGCAATGACACGGCGTACTTCTTCGCTGGTTACTGTTCGGAAGGAAAAGCGATCTTGGGAAGGCATATAAACGGTCTCTAAAGGTGTTTCCTGTACAGTAATGTTGTTCTCTTCTGCATGTGACCAGCATGTTGTTCTCTTCTAACATGTAACCAGCTAAGAAACAGGGTTATGCACCTACAGAAGGAAAACCCAGACTTACTAGAGTAAGAGTTGCAAAGATGTATATAGTTAAAAAATAAAAGTTCATGTTAATAAATTGATATTCACAACAAGTAACCAAATAAGAACAATGTTACGCACCTACAGAAGAAAAACACAAACTTACTTGAGTACGAGTTTCAAAGATGTATATAGTTGTATATATGTTAATAAATTGATATTCACTGGAGAGGCCCCTTTTTTGGGGTGACCTTGGCCTTCATAAGCTCCTCCCTTTTTTTAGTGACCTCGGCCATTTTAAAATGCCAATTTCTTCTAGAAGTAAGAATATTTTGTTAAGAACATATTAACCAAAGTTGTTTAGAATCACTTGCTTTCTTTTTTGTGACCTTGACCTTGGCCATTTTCAAATGCCAATTTCTCCTAGCAGTAAGCATATTTTGTTAAGAACATATTAACCAAAGTTGTTTAGAATCATTAGATCGACCATATAGAGCAATATTGACATGGCCAGGGAGCTCACCAACAGAGAAAAAGCAATATTTGGTGATCTGAAGCTTCTCCTTGGGTACAGACACGCATGGTACCGCACCGATGCAAGGATCGACAATCACTGGTGGCTACGTCTGTGGTGTTTGTGTTATTATAAAGGGTTAAATTTAAGAAAATTACAAAGTACGGCACACATTTTCACCACGAAGTACCGATTTTTTCTTGAACATATATTAACGAAAAATGTGCAAGGCATCAAATATTTACCATATCCACCTTTAAAATAGCAACTATTTTTCAATAAACATCCCATGGGCTTACCAGCAGCATATAGCTCAAAAACGCCCGAGCAGTATCCAAAAATATCGAAAATCCCTCCCAAACGCACATCCTGAGTGTCGTTAAAGTCTGTCGACAAAGTGGGTGTCAAAATTACATTGTAAATACATGTTACTGTAAATGTTACAATTTTAAAGAAATTTTTCAAATCTTATTTTTCAACTCTAACCCCAACCCTTAACCATAAAAAAACCCCGAAAAATTACCAAAAATGAAAAAAAAATAGAGGAAAATTATTTACTCTATCCAAACAAAATTAAAAAAATAGAAGAAAAATTATTTACTTAATTTAAAGGTTTTACTATAGTTAAGCTTTACTTAGTTCAGTCGATCCAAAAAGAAAAGAAAAAAAAAATTACCAAATTTTACCAAAATCGTATCGAAAAATTACCACACAAATGGGAAACAATTATTTAATTAAGAGTTTTACTACAGTTAAACTTTATTTGACAAGCTCTATCGAAAAAGAAAAAAGAATAGAAGGATAATTATTTACTTGAGTGTTTTACTACAGTTAAGCTTTATTTGACAAGCTCCATCCAAACAAAAAATTTTAAAAAATAGAAGAAAAATTATTTACTTAAAGGTTTTACTATAGTGAAGTTTTACTTAGTCCAATCTATAGACCTTATTAATAAATCGTGACGAGGCCTCGTATCCTAAGATACGCGGGAAAACAAGCTAAAACTGCTTGACAAGCCAAATTCAGATGCTATTGTGTCGACTTTAATGGCTTGTTTCTTGTTGCTTTTTGTGATTTATAACGATTTGTGTGTGTATTTAGGACTTTGTGCCCACAACGAAAGTGGTAAACAAGTATATTATGCACCAATCATTTGTTTCATTTGTTTCCACCAATCATTTGTTTCCACCCCCCCCCCCCCCCCCC